GCGGTCACTAAAAAGATTAAAACACTGCGCGATTTCGCTGGCCAATCCGCTAACATGACATATGAATGACTTGGGAGGATTTCCTGAATATGTGATTTGAAAAGTGAAAGCGGCCAGGATTGGGAGCCGGCTCATCCATCCTCTAATCGTTTTCGGTTTTATAATCGCATGAAATGTTTCAGTTCCGCCGCGTGTCATTTAGTTTCATAAAACGGGATTTTACAGGGGCGGAGAGAAAAATTTAGATACTGGTCCAATTTCCGAAAAGTGCCCACCACCCCAAAAACGTTATAAAACAGTTTCAGACCGGATTAACATCATCCCCCGGGATTGTCAAACGGCCGTTTGACGTTTTACCCATTTTGGCTAAATTTATTGTTAACTCCAATTAGTTATACACTTTCCTTGGAGTTCCAATATATTAAAAATCGAACCAATAAATTATTCTTCGAGGGTTTTCTTAATGTATTCACAGCTTCCATATCGTAGCTGAAAATGGAAAAATAAGAATAGATGTTATTTACAATCCATTATATTTAGTGGTCTATTGACCAAATTACTTCTAATTAATTTTTTCACGTAAGGTTATTAGTTGGTCTCTGACCGCCGGAGAGTTAACATCGGCTCCGCGCGTGACGACTGTGTAAAACTAAATTTGAATTTGAATTTGGATTCCAATTTCAATTTCAATTTAGATTCGAATTTGGAACTCGGTCTGAATTTCGATTTAAGCCGACGCCTTATAAGTTAACTAACTAACCCGCGTTGACCTGGGCTAAGTCCTTGAAGAATACTTAGTGTATGTCTTCTCGGGCAAGCCCTGGAAAGCCGGCCGCAAGGAATGAGAAACCTGTCGAGACACCCAAGCCACCCCTGGACGCGAGGCGATCACACGACCCACCGTAGTTCGTGGGTTCGTATCCCGCTCGTGACACTAACTTTTTCATTTCGACGAAAACCTTACGTAAAAAGATTAGTTATTTACAATGAAAATTTTAAGTTGGGAGTGGATATAATTTATATATACTAAGCTTTACATCAATGGGTGATACACCTGCCTATCAGAAATAAAGTGTACTGCAAGTACTCTGACAGTATTTATGATATGGTTTAGTTCTCATCTAACACGCTGGTTTACGCAGTCAAATTCATTTTAGGTGTTTGTACCCGTAAAATGTGAATGGATGAAAGGGGTTTGAGCTTTTTGTTCCGAGCGGTTTCGATCACACCATAGGACAAAATCCAGACAATACTAAATTTTATCAGTTTCTATTAAATATATAAATACTCAATTAATTATACACAATTTTTTTCCAAATGCTTATAATTAGAATAAAATCGGGTAGTCGAAATGAGAAGTTTGTGGCATGGGCGCTCGAAGTCACGGTAGCTCAAGTGGTAGAGTAGCGGCGTATTGAGCCGAAAGTCGTGGGTTCGCATCCCGCCTGTGACACAAATTTTTCATTTCGAAAAAAATTGTGTATAATTAATTGAGTATTTATATATTTAATAGAAACTGATAAAATTTAGTATTAATCTAGAATCACACCTGTGAATCGTACACAGTCCCGCTGATCTAGTGTAATCGTTAATAAAAAGTGTTTCTATACGAAGCCGCGATTTGCTTATAATTAGAATAAAATCGGGTAGTCGAAATTAGAGGTTTGTGGCATGGGCGCTCGAAGTCACGGTAGCTCAAGTGGTAGAGCAGCGGCGTATTGAGCCGAAAGTCGTAGGTTCGAATCCCGCCTGACACAAATTTTTCATTTCGGAAAAAAATTGTGTATAATTAATTGAGTAAAATCCAGACAGATCAACCACTTAAAATGGCAAGGCCCGAAATAAATCTAACTGACTAAACCAGCAAGAATTGGCAAACTAAGACGATCGAAAAGATCAAAATACATGTTCATCACCCCCCAATTTTCAAATTCGGTCAATTATTGCTAATGTTCTTGGCTAATTAAAACATTATCCTTATCCTTGATCTTTCATATAAAATTATAGGATGAAGGATAATATCAATCTCATCAAGATAAAGTTCCTGACTGAAGCTTTCATCATTATTTTATTGAAGATTTTTTTTTAAATATTACAGTGGAAATGATGAAGGTTGGTGAGTATGTAGATTCATTTTTTATAAATGATGGTTCTACTTACAGATTTGTTGTTTACAACGATCCAGATTTCGAGCATTAAACTCTCATAATCAGTTTGAAGAGTTACGAACATGTCTCTCGACATGAATTGTAAAAGTATGTTTACATCTGACACTTTTTTCCGGAAATATGTGTCGAGTGTCTGACATAAAACCGCTATGACTATTTACATACTGATAAAAATTAATAGAAAATTAAGGGAAATGTATACGAGAGTTTGGGTCCATGGGTGAGAATAGTCTGCTGGTATCATTGGTGTCTGTAGTTGTGGGTTTTCTATATACGTCTGTTTCAATTAGGTTATTTATTATGGACAGTTTTAAGGCTAAAAAGTTTAAACAACCATCTTTATTTATTTCCAATATAAAATTTACTCTAAATATAGACTAGAGTATAAAGAATTAATTAATTGGAAGAATTCTTTTAGATCCTCCGTTTCGATGCTTTCATCATGCCAAGATAAAATGTGCAAAACGAAAAAGATATACAAGTATACAGTACATGAATGTACACAGAAATCTTGTACGTAAACGGATCATACATAAGTTTCGCGTTTTGAGAACATACACATCCACGACATAAATTTATAGTAATTTCTATCAGTATATAAACAGTCTAAACGATTTTCTGTCAGATATTCGACATATATTTTTGGACAAAAATGTCAGATATAAACGCACCTTTACAATTTATGTCGAGATACGTGTTTGTAACTCTTTGAACTGATGATGAGCGTTTAATGCTCGATATTAGCATCGTTCAAAACAACAATTCTGTGAGTAGAACCATCATTTACAAAAATGTGAACATTACGGTGTGTAACAAATTATTTTCATTAATGGACCGTTGCCATTCTAAGCAAGTTAACTAAAGTGAGTTTTCATGTCAGCTGTTTAAATTCCTAACTCAGCAATTCGTTGTATTGTATAAAACAAGTTCTTCAACAAACCTCTATTATTTTCATTTTTTCAATAGAAAAAATTCAATTATTCAAAATATCTTCCAATGTGATCATCTTTTATTAGCCTTTTTTCAACCAATTGCATGATCTCAAATTGGTACCATTCCCAATTTTCATCCACCGCTTCATTTAAACAAAGTTGGTTAAGAAAAAACCAAGTAGGGGTAATGAGTAAAATTTGGGCTATATGATGAAAGTGATTAGACTGTTCCAATAAAGATCAAAACTTCACCTTGATCAGATTGAAAAGTGGGAAAAAGGAGGGAAAATTCAAAAGGTGGGGTTGAGATGGGAAGTTAGTGCCCGATTGGATCGAAGTCACGATAGCTCAAGTGGTAGAGTAGCGGCTTATCAAGCCGAAGGTCGTGGGTTCGAATCCCGCACGTGACACTGACTTTTTACTCAATAAAAACCATAATTAATTGAATGATATTAATTGGTCAAGCGAACCACGAAAAAGAGTGAACTTGATCAGATAGTGTACCCTTGCAATATAGAATTGGTTTTCAATTAACCAAATCTAACACTGTGACCATATGACTTTTTTGTCACTTTATAACTAGAGGTTATAGAACACACATCAGAAACAGACTCGTGAATTTTGGTCGTTTCCGATCATTTTGGTGTCTATTCTTGCAGTTTTCGTCTGTTAGGAACGTTTTGGCTCCACACGAACTTCAATATTGGATCTGTGGATTAAAAAACCACCTACCTTGATTGAAAAACAACCTGGTTTGTCATACATCAGATTCCAAGAGGAAATCTCTTTAACTCCTTCGTAATTTGAAAAAATTCACCGTTTGGAACATTCACTCTCTGCAGTAACTGGTAAAGCCCTTTACCACGATTATTTAACCATTGTCCTGTTAATTTTCATCGCACATGACAATATTTTAATGAAATCTCTTATCATGCGGATTTTTGAAAACAGATTTTAAGTTTCTACCCTCTCTCCGGATCTTTGGGACGTACGGGCAACAAGGCCCAGATCTTTTTCATCTTCCGCATATCACATAACAACTAACAGTTTTTCGAAGCTCCATAATCTCTGGAAAATACACGAATATTTTTGGCTAGGCTAGACTCTAAAGCTTGAAACTGAACCTCATTAATATCCATTGTAGATCACCTGCCCACATTCTTCCTTTCCAAAAACTACATTTTTTAATTTTTTTTTCATACAAACATTTACTGGTCAAAAACCATGTTCCATTTCGGATTTAATCGATATGTTTTCAGTTGGACGTATTTAACCAAAGTAATATTTTTAAATTAATTTATAATTTTTTTGTAAAAAATGTTTTTTGTTTTAATAATATTTACGAGATACTTCAGTGAAATATTGAACCCAATACATCATTATGAATGAAACTATGGTCTATATTTTTCGATAGATTGAATTGAACTAAGGCTTAAAAAAAGCTTACGTTTAGAAAAGTGCTCTACAATAAACTTTTACTCTTGGTATTTTTAATTCGGGCATTCGGTAAAGCGATCTTTTGTTTAATAAATTAATTCCAATTAATTATTGTTTTTATCTATGTTTTTTCGTCGAGACGAAAAATTAGAGTCAGTATGACGAGAGAGATTCGAACCCACGACCTTCGGCTCAATATACCGCAGCTCTAACCACTGTGACTTCACTTCATCAACTTCATCAGCTCAAGTGGTTAGAGCAGCGGTGTATTGAGTCGAAGGTCGTGGGTTCGAATCCCACTCGTGACTGACTCTAATTTTTCGTCTCGACCAAAAAACAGATAAAAAGAATAATTACTGTGGTAAATGAAGACCACTAAGCAAAAATGGATTAATGTCAATACTGCTTGTTCTCGACTATTTTTGGCATATTAAATCAATTTAAATATTTTGTTGTGTTACAGGCGGCAGACGGCTGAGGAAAGGGAGGCTGAGAGGCAAGCAGCTAACAGGTTGATGATGTCCCTCCAGGCCGAAGCGTTGGGCAAAGGGCTGTACCAAAGCCCGGGCGAACCGAGGCCGAACCCTTTGGCCCAGCCCTGGCCACCTTCGCAGTACCAGACGATAACATCGCCGATATGTTAGTGCGGAAGTCGGAGGAAGAAGCCCCTTTGAAAACCGGTTGAGATCCGGTCGTCGACAGATTTTGATTGTTTTTGTGATTTTTCCTCTCGAGAATTAGGTCTCACTTGTGAAGAATTAGCGATAGCGATTTGGCTAGCACATCGATTTACCTCATTCAACAAGCCAAGTCTCTATTTAAAATTCTTTATTCTTAAACACGCCATTTGTAAATATTTAGATGTTTTATTTATTGTACATAGTCATTTAAATTAAATATAAAAAGTTGAAACTTTAAAAAGTTAGCTTCGGTACCCCAATGCTTTACCGAGCACACAAGTGCCAGGATTATTACTCTTCATTTTGATATTGTGTGATATAAATCTTGATAGGATTATATAACAACCAGTGCAAATACTGTAAATTAAACTACTAAAAAGAATCTTTGAAATACAAGAAAAATATCGTAAAGCGTTCATAATTTTAATTTTAAAAGCCGAAACATAATTGGTTTGGGCAAGAAAAAATGTTTATATTCGTTAAGAAATTTTGTACATATATGGTGATGACATTAATTATATTGTATTGAAATAAAAAAATAAAAATATCCCTGATGTTACTTATGTTCAGAAATGCTTTTGGCCCTGTATTTATTAAAATGCACTCATGATCTTTCGTTTTTTGAATAATTGTCATGTTTTATCAACGTTCGAGTAGCATGTAAAATTTAAATCCAAAAAAATATATGAGCACCTGTCAATGTTATTTGGATTATCGTACGTCAACCGAAAATACCTGCTGTATAATATCCATGCTTTTCTTAAAAAAACAAAAACAAAAAACAGTAAACGAAGGAAGTAAAAAAAATAATAAAAAAATAAAATAAATTAAAAAATGAATATAAATGTTCTTATTTTAAATGTGTTGTTTTTCCCCCACCCCTTTCAATGGTTAAAAACTAAATTGGACAAGTTCACAGCATTTTGGAAGGAACTTCGGAGACTGGATGGAATGAACTTCTTGGATGGAAGGATCCATAAATATATTTGTCTATATAACATTATATTTAATATTGCTACCATTTCATAATATACAGGGTGAGTTTTGAACGCACCAAGAAGGCTTGGTTGCGTTCTCATTTGACTCACCTATGTTTTCCCTATCAGTTTGCTCGAGGCAAGTATGTCGTTTATATACACCATCTGCCGCATCAGCATTTACTGTCATGGTGATACTTACGGCAACCTAAGTATATATTAATGTAAAAATGTTAATCTACCATTCAACTTGATTATGTATCTCCGTAAATACTTAAAAATTGATGAAAAGATATTTGATTTTGTCCAAACCTGCAAACGATCAGGCAGATTTGCAACTGTCTACTGGAGAAATTTGAGAACGAGAATTTTTTAAAAGAAATATCTGTTCGTTTGGTCAAGGTAAGTCCTACTTAACATCAAAATCAAGAAACTCAAATAAGATTTATTTCCGTAAGAAATTCTCCATCAACTTTATCATCGAAGACAGATGTCCACTCTGCCACGAGATCGACACGATAGTTCATACCCTGTCACATTGTAAAATATACACAGCGCTGACACTTAAAAATATTGAACAATATTATGGCAATTCAAATACAGACGAACATAAAAATGAAAACCAATTTTCTTAACACTTTGTTAAAATAACAATAAACAAAAAACAATCATCACATTACATTCCACACATCAAATATTTTTCATTAGTCTAATTTCCCAACAATTTGGCTTTCCTTTTCCTATTTATCCCTTTCTATATAATCCTGAAAGGATAATCTGGCCGAACCATTACCAACACATTTTTCCCTTCGTCGGCTCTTTTCAACCCAANTGATACGCCGCTGCTCTACCACTTCAGCTATCGTGACCTCATGATTTTTGTCTCAAGCATTTTCCTACAGATTTGGGCAAAAATATAGTTTCTGCATTTATATTCTGGGGTAATGTTATTTATCCTTTCTACAATGCTTCGACAGTCTGTGAGGATATAAAATTTAGAATCACCCAATTTTCGTATGTAATTGAGAGCGCTATCTATCGCAATTAGTTCTGCTGTATAAACAGACATTGAAGTTGGAAGCGAATGTTGTTCCTTGAATTGATGTTTAGGGTCGAAAAAGGCATAACCTGTTTTGCCATCGATGGAAGAGCCGTCAGTAAATACGTACACATATAGATTGAATATATAAAAAATATATTTTGCATTGTATAAATTCACTTTTCCACATCAAAAATGCAATTGTTATATGTAAACTATGTTTGTAAATCCCAGGCCCTGAAGATGATCTCAATAAAGATCGAAACGTTGGCACGATAAAGAAAATGTTTTTCTGAAACCTACATCACACCAGACCGCATCTCACGATTTCTAAATAAATGTTAAAATAACGTTGTTACGATTTGTAACGATTTATACTTCTTCTTTAGCAAAAGTTTACATCCTAGAAAATTACTATTAAAGTTTAGAGCTTAAATTCTTCTGTGTAACAGTTTATGCCTTACTTTAGTTTACCCTTTATCAACATTCGAGTTTAATATATTCTAAACTATGTTATTTATCACCACTACAATTATTTTTTTATACAATTTTTTGTCTAATTTAAAACGATTTTATAGTTATATATTTATATATTACTACATAAATTATTTTGTGAGATGTTTCATGTTGTAATACTACAATTAATTTTTCTATGAATATTATATATTTACTATCAATTATTGTTTGTGTTACGTATTGATTTTAAACAAATATTGATTTTTTTTTATTTGAACCATTTGAAATGACGCGGGTGTACAGATGGTTCCAAAACAAACGAAGGAACCGGATCGGGTGTTTTTTGTACAAACCCAAGACATGAGCAATTCATTAGGGAAGTACACTTCTTTTAAGCAGAAATACATGTCTTCAACGCTTGTGCCCTAGAAAATTTTAAAAGAGGTTACACTAGAAAAAAAAATTGTCATAAGATTTGATAGCCAAGCAGCAATTAAAGCATTAGTATGTAAAAAAAATCACTTCACAATTAGATGGTCAATGCAACCAGAATCTCCATAACCTGGGTAAGGGAAGAAATGTTGGGCAACTAAAAAGCAGACAGACTGGCCAGAGGAGAATCTGCAAAACGATACATAGGCCTCGAACCTATACTTGGGATAACAAGAACAAACACAAAACCCTCAATCGCACAATAGATCCAAATAAAACAAAAAGTGAAGTGGATAAACTCTAGCAGCACTAGGCACACTTATGATAAAAAAAACCAAGGCAGGCAAACTCACTGCTGCTGTTGGAGACGGCTAAACTCAGAGGAGTAGTAGGTCTACTAACCAGTCACTGACATCTGAGAAAAATCTACACAACCTGGGCATATACAAGGAAGATCCCATCTGTAGATTATGAAATGAGGAGGAGGAAACAGCCATCCGTCTCATCATCGAATGCGAAGCATCGGCTCAAAGGAGATTTAACCTAATAAACAGAAAAAAATATAGATAATGAAATTGTAGCAGCGACAGTCAATGACCTGATACTTCTAAGGATCAGGATTGAGTCTATTGCACTAAACTAGGGTACTAGGAAAGTACAATAAGCCAGAAGGCTGCAGTGCCTGGGGAGTACAAACCCTGCTTCCTAGCATCCTCATCCACCAGCACCATCACTATCAATGGCGGTTGGGGCGGCCTGATCCATGTGTGTTTATGGCTGTGGAGCAAAAGGTTTCAAAACGTTATCATTTTTTATGAAGGTTTTATCGAGGTGCCTGTTTCTATAAGATATGTATTCTTGGAAGCAAAAATTATTCATCGATAATTAATATATATATAATTCACATATGCATTAGTTATATTAATATTACTGTTACCAGATAACGATTTCCGAAGAAATTACAATTGACTAAGTTAGGGCGAATTGGGGATAAACCCCCTGTCGATAAAAATCAATATAAATGAGATCTTTAGCGAATCCCTCCCTCTAAATGTGTCTGGCGTTTGTACAATATAAATTAATAACGTAATATTAAACAGATGGATGGTCAAATCGACTGAACGTATAAACGAATGAATCGCTTTTATTCGTAGTGAATTGGATGAAAAAAATCCCAGTTTTTGAAGAAAAGCATCCACAAAATTGACAAAAACTAAGCAAATTGTAGCAATGTTTGCTGAAATAAAACGTTGTCATGTATGCTGATGACGTTAATAATAAGTGTTTAGAAAATTAGGAAGCGTTAGATTATACATTTTCACTGTTATCAATGATCAACCTGTTTTAATAACTGATGATTTATTGAATCGTTGAACTAGATAACAGTTTAATCAATAAAAACAATTTTTTTATCAACTCCTTCAGTGATGTTTAATTTTAATTATTTAACAGATCATTGTGATAACATCATCAAGTGGCTAACAGTTGGACCAGATAGCAGACTCGCTTTCGTTTAGCGTCAAAAGATTGGAAGAAAAATCCCAGATTTTTAACAAAAGCAACTATAAAAAAGATAAAAATTAAGCAAATGATGGAATTTTTCCTTTTTAATTTTCTTCTAAGTTGAAATAAAACTTGTTCGTTATCTCATGTATGTTTTAATTTCCATCTAGTGAAATCGTCACATCTTCATCGCGGTATTTACCGTCGGATGTAAGGTAATTTGAAGCTCATAATTAATTGGTTTAACAGGCGGTTCAACTTAAGGTTTTTGATCGAACAAATTAACAAGAGATGATTATTTTTATTCGTTATTCATTCATCGATCTAGTTGACAGACTTGTTATGAATAATCATTAAAAATATATCATAGATTAATAGCAAGAAATATAATTGTTATTAGTATATAATTTTTTTTCTTTGTTTATCATTTCCTTCTTCTCCCTTTTGTCCTCGGATTTCAAACGCTTAGCATCGTTTTGTAATATCAATGAACTGATTATCTAATTAATTTTAATGTAATTTATTAATATCTAAGAAAATTCTAGTTAAATATGTACGTAAAGTTGGGCAAAAACAAATTTATACAGTGTAATAGATAGGTTTTTAGGCTTAGGTTAAAAGGAGTAACCTAATTTACAGTTATTTAAAGTTTTTTTGTTGAGATAGAAAAGTCAGTATCACTAGTGGGATTCGAACCTACGACCTTCGGCAAAATAAGCCGCTGCTCTACCACTTCAGCTATCGTGACCTCGATCCGCTCTGACACTAATTTCCCATCTCAACCCCACCTTTTTGAATTTTACTTCCTTTTTGCCATTTTTCAAATGTCGTGTAATCTATTTGATTCTTGGCGACAATTGTCTTGTTTTCTCAACTGAAAACCTTAAATAATTGAAATATATTAATTGGTCAAGCGGACCACGAAAACTAGTGAACTAATTTACAATCTTGTGACTGCGATTCCATTAGTGTGTAGGTTTTTCCTCTTCCAGAAGTAAGAAGCTCAATTTGCAAGTCTTTCGCAGCAACAGGGGACATGTTCTGCGATGATCCTTAGTAAACTATTTCGCATAACCATTTCCATGATTACAAGCTCATTAAATCGAGGACGTCTTTTTTTACCCATATTTATATAACAACAGTTTCGTAGAAAATGGTTGATTATTTTTCCTCGTTGTGGTTAGAACGTGTTATAATCCATTTTCACCTTGAAATACGAGGAATAAATGTGAATCATTAATTTGATAATTATTAATTTATTTTTTACAGTGAAGATGAGTTCACTACTTTGTTATTCCTGCGGAATTGTTTGTGATTTGGCACGCCCTTGGGGTGCTCGGTTGACTCCGTGGAACCTCTCGCCGTGCTCTTGTTGATCATCAA